TGATTTTTGTACAGAGTGGAAGGGAGAGAGATAGAGAGTTCGAAACATTAATGAGAGAGTCATCGATCAGCTGTCTCTTGCACACCCCCTACTGGGGATATGCCCGCAACCAAGGTACATGCCCTTGACCGGAATCGAACCCGGAGCCCTTCAGTCCCCAAGCCGACGCTCTATCCATTGAGCCAAACTGGTCCCGGCGCCATTTCAGTTTTTAAAAGTTGCATAGGAACACTGTGCTTTAAGATTGTAATACAATTTGTAGTATAAATTAGCTAAAGAGTGTATAAAGAGAGGTTCAAAATCGTTATAGATAAATAAATGACAAAACTATAAACTGTCCACAGATGGATTGGTTCAATATTTGACTGTTATCATTTTTGCTTGTTTGATACTTTTTGTTTCTCTTTTTATATTCCTTGACCATTGATTTCATTGAGTTGTCTTTCTGTGTTTTCTGGCAGCTCACTGGGCTTCCCTAAAATGGCAATTTTGAATTCTTTATTCGGTAACGCACAGATCTCCATGGCTTTTGGTGTTGGTTACTGGAAGATTATTGTGACCCATTGGCAGTGTCACAATAATTTTTATTATAACGTCCCAGGTTTTTATATAATGTCCCAGGTTTCCTTAATTGCCCGTGTTCCTGGAAGGTTTACATTTCTGTCTTTGCAATGGAAACAGCAGTCACCTCTTCCAGTCCTCCCTGATTTTGGGAGGGAAACCAGACCTGAGGTTATGGTGTACACCTGCTCCGCGCTTCTTGCGCCCTCTGGTGACAGAAATCTCCAGCTTGTATGCTTTCTTTCTCTGGATCCTGCAATGGACCAGGGCCCAGCGCTGTCAGCCTGTCTCTAGTTTTTCCAAAGGTGGCGCTGAAGTTCAAGTTTGTGGTTTTTCTCTGGCTTGCAGATTCCAGCAAGCTTTCTGCAGAAGTTCATGGTCTGAGAAGTGCCTCATTGTAGGCATGGGCACAGGTGGGAAAGCCAAGCTCCCGCACACACGCTCACTCCCCTCTCACCTACTCCCCTTCCACCCCACCCCAACCCCTCAAGAGAAATAACTGCGTGGGCCAACAGGGGATCTCTCTGACTTTAAGCTGTGCTGCCTTGTGGTCAGAGGTCTTGGTAAAGTAAAACTGTTTTCTTCCTCTCTCCAATGCATCCAAAAAACTCTTTCCCCCCAAACTGTTTCCATAGGTTCCAGTGCGCTGGAACCTCGCCTCTGGAGACCTGGACCTGCATAAAGGCTCTCTTTGTCCACTGCTCATTGTCTGACAGTGTTTTTGGGGGGCTGTAAGGCCACAGGCAAGAGGGCTTAAGCTGGCTCACAGGCCTCTGCGGGACTACAGCAGGTCTATAAGCCCGTTACCTGACACAGGTGAGTGCAGGATTCCATGGCTCCCACAAAGCACTCCTGTCTGTGTGTGAACACCAAGTTAGTGCTGCCGAGGGGCAGACAGCAAACATCTTATTCCACCACGATGCTCATGTCACTTCTCTGAAAACTGATTTGGGGCCAGTCTGCCTAGCAGTGTTGCTGGAGAGGTGAAAGGGAAGAATAGAAGGCCAGTCTTTACAAGGTTGGGCAGAAAAAAATCAATGGCAAGGGAGGACTTCTGCAGCCATGGCCACTGCTGACCATTCAGCCACAGGTGGTCTGAAGAAAAGGATGAAGATTATCCTATATAATGAAAGGCCAGCCACCATAAGCATAATGACCAGAACGACCAGAGACAAGAACCACCATGGCCTCTTGCCCAAGCAAGCAGTTAGGCAGGCGTCTTCAAACTACGGCCCGCGGGCCACATGCGGCCCGCAGAGGAGTCTGATCCAGCCCGCCAGGTTTTTTGGGCAGTGAGCGCAGCTGAGGTGTTACAGTAGGAATTAGTAGTTCATATAGTCCGGCCCTCCAGCTCTCTGAGGGACCATGATCTGGCCCCCACTTTAAAAAGTTTGAGGACCCCTGATAGGGGTGATCAGGCAGGCAGGCAGAGTGGTTAGGGGTGATCAGGTAGGCAGATCAGCAGTTAGGGGTGATCAGGTAGGCAGACCAGCAGTTCGGGGTGATCAGGTGGGCAGACTAGCGGTTAGGGTTGATCAGGTAGTCAGGCAAGTGGTTAGGGGTGATCAGGTAGGCAGGCGAGCAGTTAATGACAATTAAGGTAGGCAGATGGCCCCATCTCAGGGCTGGCCCTGCCCCCCAGCAAAGAAAGAGGGAAACCCAGGCCACCTGGGATGACTCTGTGGCAGGTATGCAGCCAGCGAGCAATCGCCCTGCAGAGGGAGGCCCTGGTCAACCAAACCATCATACCCCACGCCTGTTACCTGCAGAGGAAGGCCACTGGTGGCAGGGGAGGGGAGGGCAGTGCTGCACAGATGGCAAGTAATGGCAGCAGCAGGGTGGGACCAGCTGCCTGCAGAGGAAGGAAACCCTGATAGGCCCTGATCACAATCCAGGATCCTGGATCGTGAGAGGGTGCAGGCCCGGCTGAGGGACACGGCCCTCTCCCCGCCCCTCCAGTGCACAAATTTTCATGCATCAGGCCTCTAGTTTTTATATAATGTCCCGTCCTTACTGGAAGAAGTAGGAAAAAATATACCAGCTCCATCTTCCTAGAAGTGGTACTCTTGCATTCATTCTGGTTTTTTTAAAAAGTTGTATAAAATATTATTTATTTTGATTCTGAGTTTTGGTCTCCTTATATTTGTCACCTCAGACAATACCTCCTTCACCTCACCCTACTTCTGGCCGTTTGGAAGTCCTCTTAGAGTCTGGAATAATTTTTTTAAATCAATCCAAAATGAGGTAAGAAAGGAGAGCTAACACAGAACAATAAGACAAGTAGAAAACATAATAAATTTAATTCCAAATAAATTAGATGACATTAAAAGTAATAGACTGGGGTGCTCTAATATTAACAGATCAAGGAAAAGAGGAAGATCCACAGAGATATCAAGGAGGGTCTGGTGAATTCCATGTTTTCAATAAAAATTAAAAATAAATTACAGGGAACTCATACCACTTAACAAAAGGAAGATAAACAATCCAATCAAAAATGGGCAACAGACACTTTTTGAAGGTGGACATTCAGAAAGCCAAGAGGCATATGAAAATATGCTCTAAGTCTCTAATCATTTGAGAGATGCAAATCAAAACATCAATGAGGTATCAGAGTGGCTATCATCAACAAATCAACAAGTGACAAGTGCTGGCGAGGATGCAGAGAAAAAGGAACCCTCCTTCACTGCTGGTGGGAATGCAGACTGGTGCAGCCACTGTGGAGAACAGTATGGCATCTTTAACAGTGTCTGCAAGGCCCCCGAGGGTCTGTCCCTGCAACATTCTTTCAGTTCCCGCACTGCTACAATCTCTGTGTGCCTTGGCCAGGAGCACTCAGACTTCAGGCTGCTTCTTAGTCACTGGCTTCCTTAAGCCCCAGATTACATCGTTCTTCACATCTCATAACAATGAACTGTTCAAGATGCCTATCAGACCAAGTTCTGCAAGGCAGAAATATGCCTTGTTCACCACGGGATTTCCCAGGCCCTTAAGCAGTGCCTATCACAGCCTTGACGCTCTATTAATGTATTTAAATAATGGTTACAATCCTGTCCAAACTCAGAGGATAGGTGGAGGTGGGTGGATGAGAAGAGATTAACCAAAAAATTTGTATGCATATATGCATAATCCATGGATATAGACAATAGGGTGGTAAAGGCCTGGGACAGGGGCGGGGGGGAGGGGAGAGGGATAGAAAAGGTCAATGGGGGGGGGGGGAAGAGACATATGTAATACTTTCTTTTCTTTGAATTTTTTATTAAATTATTACCTGTGTACATATCTTACCATTGTAATACTTTTTATTATTGTAATAATTACATATGTAACACTTACAACAATAAAGATTAAAAATAAACAAACATGCCTGGCCAGTGTGGCTCACTGTTTGAACACGGATTTACGAACAAGGAGGTCTCGGCATACGGGGGTGGTGCAGGAGGCAGCCCACCAATGAGTCTCGCTCATTGATGTTTCTCTCCCTTCCTCTCTGAAAAATCAATAAAAATCTTCTCTAATAAAAGAGAAACATGCAAATTGACAGTACCTCCGCTACACCAGCCAATCAGGGCGGGTATGCAAAATAACCCAACCAAGAGGGCAGTTAATTTGCATATCCAGGCCAGAGCGAAGACTGAAGACCGAATAGAAAGAAGCCAAGCGCTGCAGAAGGGAGTGAAGCTGCCCAGAAGCTGGGGTGGGGAGAAGGGAGAGAAGCGGAGACTGTAGCAGGAAGCCCTATTGCAGGAATCTTCCTGCAAGGGGCATCTAATTATATAAGGTGACCATTCATCCCGCTTTTTAACAATTTTCCCCGTGTCGCGGAGTTTTTAAAAAGTCCCGATTCTTTCCCCGCGACACGGGGAAAATTGTTAAAAAGCGGGACTGTCCCGCCAAAAGCGGGACGATCTGGTCACCTTAATCTATCAATAATATATAAATAAATCTGACCAAAAACCGCAAATAAATGTTACATTTACCTTTACATATAATTCCCACTCTCTTCTCTTTTTAGAGAAAAGAATAAATGTCAACGATCTCCTTTTCCTTAAAGACCATCCCACCGCTCTCCTTAATGAGCCAGTCACGTGAGGCTAATGATGGGTCACAGGCCTCTAGGGGTAGGGGATGGGGGTAAGGAGTAGAAGGTAGGGAGTAGGGGGTAGAGGATGGGGGTAAGGGGTAGAGGGTAGAGGGTCAGGGGTAAGGGGTAGAGGGTAGGGGGTAGGGATAGAGGGTAGAGGGTAGGGGGGTATAGGGTAGGGGGTAGGGAGTAAGGGGTAGAGGATAAGGGGTAGGGAGTAGGGTGTAGTGTGTGGACAGCTGTCGCAGCAGCACCACGTGCAAGTAACCCGACCAGCTCCCCCGGGTCCTAGCACACACGCGCCGCCCGCCGGGCACGGGGAGGGCGGGCTGGGAGGCCGGTCCGCGGGCGGCCGGACGTGCTCGCGCCCGCCTCCGCCCGCGCCGCGGCCGCCGGGGCTCCAGCTGCGGGCACGTGCGCCGCCGGGCCGAGCGGACGGAGCGGCGCGCCCTTGCGAGGCCATGGAGGGCGCAGCGCTGCGGAGGGGCGCGCACAGGTGCGGGGCGACGTCCGCCCCGGGCGGGGAGAGCCGCGCGGGGAAGCAGCGCCGCTGAGCCGCGGAGGAGGCGGGAGGACCGCGCCGGGCCAGAGCCGGGTGAGGCGCGCGGGCCGGGCTGGAGGGCGGGGCGGGGGCGGGTTAAAGGCCGAGCCGCCGGCCCCGCGCACTCACTCGGGGCCGGGTGGGAGCGCGCACCCCTGGGGCCGGGCGGGCGGGTGGTGACGGAGGATCCCTCGCCTCGGCTCCGCCAGGCCCTGCCCTGCCCCGGCCCGGCGCCCGCGGCCCCACTTCCTCCTGGCGCGCGCATGCGCGTCCCCGCCGAGCGCCCGGTCCCCCACGGTTGGCCCCGCCCCCCCGCGGGCTGCGCTCGGAGGCGGCCGCGTCAGCCCAAGCCCGACGCGGTGACGCAGCACGTCGACGTAAGTGACGCGCAGGCCCGGGCCGCTCCTCCTTCCTAGAGTGAGTGCCGGCCCGTTCCGGGCGGGGGAGACGAGGGAGGGCGGGGGAAGGAGAGGCGACCCGGGCGGGAGTCGTTGTGGGCCGCGGGCCGGACCGGGACCCGGGGCGGCGGAGCCAGGGCCGGGCGGAAGGGCTGGGCGGCCGTTAGCGGGCGGCGGGGGGCGGCCGGCCCCCTCCCCGCCGGCCTGACCTGCGCGCCGGGCGCCCGGCGCCTCCCGCGGCGCCCACCCGGCTCCAGCCCGCGACTCCCGGCTCCAGTTAGGTCAGGCTCCCGAGCCGGGCGGCTGCTCCCCGGCCCCCGGCGCGGCCGCCGCCGGCTAGCCTTCCTCTCTTCTCTCGCCTTCCTCGCCTCTCGCCTTACCCTCCCTCTCCCCCACCCCCTCCACCTCCTCCCGTTCACGTTGCTGGGGTGTTGCTTTTTTGTCCGCTGCTTTCGGGGTTCCGTGCCCCACAGCCCGAGCTCATGGGTGTACACGGCCATGCTCCTCTCTTGTAGAGCGACCCGCCGGCCATGGAGGCCGAAGAGACGATGGAATGCCTTCAGGAGTTTCCTGAGCATCACAAAATGATCCTGGACCGATTGAATGAACAGCGGGAGCAGGACCGGTTTACGGACATCACGCTGATTGTCGATGGTGGGTAGCGTGGTGGTGGGCCACGGAGTGGGGTGGGGCTTGGGCCCTCTCACCTCCCTTTCCCCCCACCCCCGGGCGGGCTCCCCGTCGGAGGCTGCGGTGCACCCCGGGCGCTTGTCAGTGTCCGCTCCCACGGGCCGGCTGCACAGGCGCGTTGGCGGGCAGGCGCGCTGCGGACATAACTCGTGGCATCTGAACTTGCAGAAGTTTTCCCATTGCACGCTCGAGTGCAGGATTATGGTGTGGGGACAGGGAGGGTATCCGTCTCTTAAGTGTTTGGTCAATAGTCTTTTCTGGATAAGCTGTTTTTGGGGAGTTATCTCCCAGGAGCCAGGTGGGGAAGGTTGAATTTTTTTTTTTTTTTTAATAGTTTGCAGCAACCCCTTTCTCAGTCGTCGTAATGGAGGCAAGCGCAGCTTGGGTGCCTTCAGTTGAGTGAAAATAGGCTTCATCCCACACGCTAGGCGTGCTGAAGTTTTTCCCATGGCAAACACCTGCAGCTTCCTGCGTGTTCCGTGGCTTTTTCCTCCTCCCTTCCCAAGTAGCCTTTCGGGTGGTGTTTATGTTTAGTAACTTCAACTGAATAGGATATGCCTTTCGTTCTGTAAGTGGTAGGAGGTTCCGGCCTCCTGAAGTATTGTAAACTGGCCTTTATGAAACTGACTTATTACGGTCTCTGAGGTAAAGATCTGGCTTTGTGTCTAACTGAGATTAAAATTTGTCAAGGTAGCTGCCAAGAATATTCTGACGCTAGTTCAGTAATGTATATAGTTTTATAGTTATACTAGAGACCCGGTGCATGAAATTCATGCAGGGGGGGAGGGGAGAAGAGATCAGTCCCTTAGCCAGGCCTGCACCCTCTCACAATCCGGGACTGCTGGCTCCTAACTGCTCGCCTGCCTGCCTGATCTCCCCTAACTGCTTGCCTGCCTGCCTCTGCCTCTGCCTCTGCCCCGCTGCTGTGGCTTTGTCGGGAAAAGACTTTATTTTATGTAATTTTCCAACTTGTTTTCTAGTTGTATGTTTGATTTTTGTGGATATGTCTGATTTTGTGTTTGTTTTTATCTAGGTCACCATTTTAAGGCCCACAAGGCTGTTTTGGCTGCTTGCAGTAAGTTCTTCTACAAATTCTTTCAGGAATTTACTCAGGAACCTTTGGTGGAAATAGAAGGTAAATGCTTGTTTTAAATAATACCGCTTAGCAGACCTTATAATTAATGACATATAAACAGTTAATTGAGTGAAATACTAAGTTATCTGTGGTTGCTGTTAGGTGGCTGGGTAGATAGTTCTTTTGATACCTGAGAATTCTTACTTTCAGTAAAGTGCTTAGTACAGTGATCTGCCAGGAAAAACTCCTGTGTTAGATGGCAGGTGTTGGTCTCTTAAAAGAGTCTTTTCCACTGCTAACACCCATGGCCATTCACTGTCTTTTAGAAACATGTATTCCCATCTTTGTTCGGGAGTCTTATGTTTCAGGCTGGGGACGCTGAAGGATTCTGTAGAAGCCTTTCTGAGTAGACGGCCTGCTCAGAGTGAAGTGGGCTGCCAGAGTGTGGCAAGGCTTATTTCGTTGCATTCAGAAGACGTTCCAGTGGCTGTAGAAGTCAGGGATGGAAAGGGTTATATACTAGATATTGTCTTACAATAATAAGTGATTTAAAATAAAATAAGTGATTGTTTTGTACTTTGACTTTTCAGTAGTAATGGCCCTCTACTGTTAGGGGTTGTGCTATGTAGTTTATGTGCATTTCCTGAGGTTCAGAACAGCAGTCCCTTGAAGTAAATGGTATTTCCAATCTATACATCAGGGAACAGGCTCCAAAGGTTTCTTGCCCAGCTAGCAAGGGAGTCACTATTCAAAAGTAGAAAGTAAATGAGCTTGCCTACATAGTACTGAATTTTAGTATCTTTTCAAGGCTCTTGAGTTTTGGTTTTGTACCTCTTTCACAGTACCTCTTTGTTATGAATTAGTTGCCTAGAAACACTATTCCCTTGGAAAATTTTTTGTGCCTAAGGGAGTAAAAAAATTAAAGAGTTTAAGAATGTCCTTTTATTTTGATACCTTCTAGTTTAGCATTCTAGCTGCTCTGTTGATGGGTAGATTATTTTCTAGTTATCTGTGATGGACAGAGAGCAGAGGCATAATGGAAATCCACAAAGTTTACTAAAGTGGGAATCCAGTGGCCTAGATGGTATTGGTTTCTATTACAAGCTAAGGTTTCATGCATTTATTCACCTGAGGTACTGTGTGACCCCCAAGTTACTTTATCTCAATTGCATATTAGCCTCCTCATCTGAAAAGTGGGTTAATAGAGTTGATTAATTGAAATAATATGCCCAGTGCCTGGCATAGGGCTTAGTAGATTGTCAAAGCTTAATAAATTGGGGCTATTTGTCAATTGAATACCCATTATGCTAGACCCATTAAATGAAGACTTGATGAATAAGAAACCTTTTTAAAATATGCAAATTTAATCACGTATAAGCAATAGGTAAAGAACGGAGTGCAAGAAATGTTGCAGAGATTTTTATTGTGAAATTAGTGGCCCAGTGCACAAAACTCATGCACATTAAAAGGGGATTAGTTAGAGGAAATAATTTAATATTGCTATTTGCCCTCTCTATAATACAAGTGTCAGAGATGAAAGAAAACTAATTAAATGTATATGAAAACCTTCCTCCTGTAAGAGTCTAGGGCTCATCAGGGCACCCAGAGTCAAGTCCCCGCTCACCCACAATGCACCTCAAAATCTCATGAGACCCAGACCAGGCTATCCCCCTTCCTCCCCGCCTCATTGGGCTAGATCCAGATCCAGCCAGTCTCACCTTTGTTAAACCCTGCTGGGCAGGGGCATAGCCTCAGGTCCCCCAGCCCAGACTGGGGCCAGGGACATGCCTTGAGATCCTCTGTCAAGCCACGCTGGGTGGGGGCGTGGCCTCAGGCCTCGTGGCCTGGCACTGGGGCAGGGGTTCGGCCTGAGGTCCCCTGTCAAGCCCCACAGGGGCTGAGGAGGGTGTAACCTCAGGTCCCTGCTGATTACTCATGAAGGCTTCTTATGGGAACTTGGCCTCAGCTGTGGGTGCAGCCATCTTTGTGATGGAGTGATAGTCAATTAGCATATTCCCTCTTTATTAAATAGGATGGTGTCCCTGAGGAGGGAGAATGGGTGTTTAGTGTACCTTAGAGAGATTGTAAAGAAAGTAAAATAAATCACCAGGCCAGATTATGGATTGCTAGTCAACAAGGAGCACCGAACTATCTGGAGAAGTAGGATCTTCTCTTTTGAAGACCAATCATCTTGGTTGTCTCTTGTATTTCTCAGTACCTCTGACCAGCTGTGTCCATTATGGTACAGCACACACAGCCTTCAGTGTTTAGCTGTAGATCATTGAAAAAGGAAAATTTCTTGTTTGCCAGATTCAGGTTTAAAGAATCGGTTTGGCCTGGCCAGTTTGGCTCAGTGGATAGAGCACTGGCCTGGGGGCTGAAGGGTTCCAGGTTCAGTTCTGGTCAAGGGCACATGCCCGGGTAGTGGTTCAATCCCCAGGAAACAACTGATCAATGATTCTCATCATTGATGTTTTTTTCCTCTCTTTCTTTCTCTCTGCCCCCTTCTCCTTCTCTGAAATCAATTTAAAAAAATACATACATACATATATCCTACATAATAAAAGGGTAGTATGCAAATCGACCAAATGGTGGAACGACCGGTCGTTATGATATGCACTGACCAGCAGGGAGCAGACGCTCGATGAGGAGCT